AATTTTTAATATCAAACAACGACATCAAACAACTTCAATATTATCGCTTTTGGATTTTAAATCATTTATTAAAATGAAAATATTTTTTTCTGTTTTTTTATATTTTCTGCCATATTAGTAATCAATGCCAAATAACTTATATATTTTCTTCGTAGCATTGCAATGGCATCATCACACCATCATGCTTTTCGTCTCTCCTCACATTATCGAAATTGATTTCCATCGAAATCGCATCAGACAGAGAAATTCTATTCCGTCGGAAATTAAATAAACTACATAAACGTCATAAAAGTGGAATGCGCAAGATTTGGACTAATGTTATTAATAAACTGCCCGACACGGATTTTACATCTGCATGAAAAGAAGTGATCTTTTAGATCCCTCTTAGATTTTTTGTCGCTGGAAATGAACCCTTTAATAAAATTATTTTATCATATCACATTTTTTTAAATTGAATTTAAAAGTAATTTCTTCCGAAAATAGCATTTCCAGATGTTTTGAGTTAAAATAAGCTCGCGTATAGAAACAGTTATTTTTATAGACAAATCAAGAGAAAAGAAGGTTAAATCCATAAATATAATTCTTTGAAGATGATAATGGTTCGTTTATGCAATTTGAATAATCACCTGCTTTAAAAGTGAAGAACAACTCTTTATAAACTAAAAGAATATCACGAAATTACATAATATTGGGAATGAAAAAAATGAGTCTGTCAGATGAGAAATGCGTCGATGATAACGTAAAGAATTGTTGACATTCGTTGAGTGCGTCGTCAAATGAAACATTTCTCTCTGCGACACTTAGTATATCCATTTCTGAAATAAATGATAACGTCAATAACAAGTGCAGCATGAAGCCGACCAGGTTGGGGTTTCGAGTGCAAAGTTAAACGTCGAGTGTTTGGCCGCGACGACGACAACTACCACGACGGTTGTGGCTCGCAGAGAGGATAGGAGGGGTAAGAAAGGGTGATGGATATAATCTCGACGCGTATAATAAATTACACTTGTCACAAACGCGCGCGCTATCGTAGTCAGACACGTTCGCAGCAAGATGGCCTTTTATCTCATCGAAGCTACGTTGATCGTCCCCTCTCACTTTCTCTCCTACTGTCGCAAGCGGACGTCCTCGGAAAAATCGCGACGTTCGCGCTGTGAGACTAAACGACGCCAAATCGAACGATATCGCTGATAAACGATGCGCTTTCCCGGAAGAAACGGAAATTAGTAAATGTTGAATGGACATATATGTACAAAATATGCGTATTCATTCTCTCTTTCTCTCTCTTTGAAGTTTTCTCTCTCCCTCATGAAAAACACATTTATTATTATACAAGACCAAAAAGATCTCTTAAATATCTAAAGATATCTTAAATCTTAAATACCAAGTTTAAGAAGAATCGTATTTCTACTTAAGTTACATGTATTGAACAAAAACTATATTTAAATCGAGATATAATTTATGTATAATGTAAGCACAAAACCAGCAACTTTCATATTTCGGGCTTGACTAATGAAAATGCATAAATTCATTCAACTAATTTAAATCTAAATTAGTTTTACTTATTAATATAATTTTGTTTATACAAATTTAATAGATATAAATAAATCTATTGATTTACTTGCGTAATACTATAATATGAATTTATTTATATTTTGAAAATTTTTTTTAAAAAGGATGTTATAAAAAATTTAAAACATATAATATGGAACTTTATATCGTAATTTTTTATATTAATGAATTTTTCTTAAGATGGAATTAGGCAGAAAATATTGCTGTAAATTTTTCTGACAACAAGTAATAATCTTCATTATAAACAGCCTTGAGTAGACTTTAAAATTTCATTTAATTATTTCAATGGAACATTATAATATAAAGCACACACACACACACACACACACACACACACACACACACACACACATAATTAATAATACTTAATTTTTTTAAATGAATAATTCGTGGAGATTTTCAAGAAGAAATATAAGTATTTTTTATATAAATGTGTTTGTTTGGATATTCCTTTTATTTAATATTAATTAATGACTCATATTGAAATTTATACGAAAAAAATCTTAATTTCCTTTAGCAATGTTATTTTACGCTTCTTCCATTGGTATACGCGTGATTAACGCGTCAGTTTAATTAATCGATGACAAGGGACAATCAATTACGTTTGTTTACAAGCAGTACTCGTTACTTACGACGGCCTCGACCGGTTGATTAAGAACAAATTAATGTTACTCGAAGGTGGACCATGTTATCACACATGGTCATGTAATCTTGTTACTTCAGAATAATTATTGTCTGTCGAGTTTTCACATTAGCTCACTTAATTGTTAGCAATCATAGTTTTGTATTCAGAATGATCAAGTATGAAATATTTTTAATATTATGAAAAATTTTCAAAAGATTATTGATTGTAGTTTGACAGAATTTAATTTAGTATTTCTGAGAACACTCCAATATAAAAATATAATACGTAATTATTTATGATTAGTCTTATTCCTCTATTTACGATTTTATTCTTTAATGTCAAAAAGCTTGATAATATTAATATTAATTAGCAAGTATCTACTGTTGATTAATCATATCAAATTTTCGCAGAAGACAAGATCAGTCAATTTGCGTATTCACATAATATGATACGCACGATGACTTTTGGATAATCTTTCCAAATGTCAATTTACGATATAATTATGCTTTAAATTCTACTTACCAACTAGAAGATATGTGCCAATTAATGATAAATCATTAAATAATTCAGTATATCAAACGTAAACCCGTTTTTGTGGTTCAAAAAGTTAATTAAAGTCGTAAAGATTTATAATCTTCTCAAAGTAACAGATTCGTTTGTATTTATTGCATTTTTCACAATTTCACATTAACATAATCGACAAAAACAAACTTTAGTTTAAATCATAACTTATTAAAAAGATTTGTAGGTATCTATTAATATAGAAGTATATCCTAACATTAATGACATATCATTTAAAATAATATTACAAACTTTGTCAAGTGTTTATGTTTAGATAGTTTCTATAGTTTAATTACAAAGTATTTATGAAATAAAGTTCAAGACATTTTATGGCTGTTTGCTTTGGAGAACGCCCGTCATACTTTTCGGAATCATATCTGTGCAAATTAAGTTCAATTTGAATCTGTTCTGTCATATTTTCTTTATGATTCTTCAACACAGCAACAGTTACAACAAAGTTCATAAAGTTTCTAGTAAACAATAGAATAAACTGTTCGGTGAGTACACATTTAAAGTAAAATTGAATACAATTTGAAACGCGTAAATTCCAAAATTAATAAAACATCGGAAGAATATAAATTTAATCCTAATTAGAAAAAAATAGAAAATCCTGCTAGCCCTTGTTTTAAATAACAGCAATGCTAAACAAGCTTTAAAAAAACGGTCCCTCAGAATAAATATTGAACCACAAGATGCTTACAACAATTTTCTATGAAAATCACGATTGTAACTAGGAGGAAGTCAAAGTCCACATAAAACTTTTTTCTAAAAGGCCAAGGTTTAGTCATCTGTATTGATAATAATAATGATGAAACCCTATAATCACGAAGTCAGAGAGATCACTTTTATGTCTGCAAAAATTCTGTATTGTCATCAAAATTTACATTCTTTAAGCTAAAATTGTATAAAATCATATATTCTCACATGGAACAAAGACTGCAGTTCGGTTTTGGCAAAGCTATCACGTAAACTGCAGATTTCATTGACTAATCATATTTTTGGACAATATTCTACATTAACAGATTTTAAACATTGACGCTATTTAAAAAATTATATAAACTTTCAATATAAACACATCATTTTGTAAAAGTGGTCATTTGACAAGTAATTTCATGTCAGTCGCACGCGCATTCTACTATGTGACAAAATAGAAAATATGCATAGACTGTGTTATAAATATAGCTGACGGGAATTATAGAAGGAAGAGAAAACTATTAATATAAGACAAGAGAGAAATTTATCACTTTTACAACGGTTGTGAGTGGCCATTACTTATACAAGTTCTAAGCATAAATTTGTATACGTAGCTCAACTAATACAGAAACTATCTAAATAATATCTATTTTAAGCTTCTGTTCTATGTAAAGACATTTTGTAACTAATTGATGAATTAAGTAAATTTATTTTCCGACATTTTCCCAAAATAAATTTATATTCTTGTTTAAAAATATAAATTTAAAATAAAGTTATTAATTCGGAAAATTAGAGATATAAACAATTTATGAAGATTAGAAAATGTATTTGGAGTCAAAATAAAAAGTTCTTTTATTGTGACAATTTTTCTCTCAATCTTTCTTCCATTGTTTATAATTGTTAGATAAAATCATAAAAAATATCCAATATATGTATATTACTTTTAATTACAAATTATATAAAAAATATATGAATGTTTTCCATAAATAAACACTACGTTATTATTTAAAGTATAATATACAATATGTATAATTTACAAAGTTTCGCGTATATTTAAAAATATTAAAAAGATAAAAAGATACATAGCAAAAAAACAGTCAATCTTACTCGGTTATTTATAGAACTCTAACAAAAAGTGCAATTAATATTGATTTTTAGATTAGACCTTCCTTATCACGTCGAAAATGTTAGCAAATAATTTAAATAAATGTTTATTCTTCTAATTTTTTATAGCATTGTAAATAAATAATTTTATTTCATGACTCCTGTTCTTACAATATTATCAAAAGTGACCCTGTGACGTTACACAAAACCTGATACTGGGATTGATTAAAATTATCAATTAAAGAGCAAATTCTTAAAAGTTCATTTCTAAATACTTGTAAAAATGTAAGCAGTCCGAGATTCACCATCTTGAATTCGATTAGGAGAAATGTTCGCGAAGATACTATCGCAGATTCGCAATCTGAACGAGGAGCTTCCCCCGACGGGGTGTACCAGCTGGTGCAGAGCGGCCAATGGGCAACGCGGATACAGGGATGACACTCACCCAGTGCATGCCGGTGGTAGGAGGGGCGCGCTCCTCATACACTCCCATCAGTGTGGCCGCTGTCGCGGGGTAGTTCCCGCTGAGGGTGCGCGACGCCGATGTTACTCGGGGGGGAGTCCCGAGGGGTCCGCTTGCCGATAACGCGGAGATGGCGTCCGCTGTGACTCAGGTCTTCTCTTCCTTCCACCTCTACTACGCTCGTCCACCCTCGTCCTCTCCTCTCTTACGTTATATTCCCCTCGCAACACTCCCAATATCACGACACTAATGTAGGGGGTTGAATCCCTCCGTGACACCTTCGAGAATAGTCGAGGGAGGAGCCCTCACGGGTGCATCTCGCGATTCTTTAACTAAGTCGACAACAGTCCACGAACAATCATACGCAAGTAACACCCATGTCACTTCACAGATTAGCACTGAAGTCCGTTATTATTGTTGTACCGATATCATCGACAATCCAATTTGTACTTCGCGGTCCATACTCCATATCGGCGCACTACGACGAGCGACGACAAAAAAAAACACCAAATTAATCGTTCACGCACCCGCACTCAATCAATTCCCCACTGATCACACTGACGAAGGATCACCCATTCGTAATTGTTCCTTTACTCCCGCAGGAACGTCCAGTATAGAGTGATCTTCCGGGACCATGTGCTCCGTGAAGAAACGCGACGACGAACGGAGCTTGATGCGCATGAGACGAGGAACGACTCTGCTGCGCCAAGGTAAGTCCAAACGGTTCCAACGAGCCGGAGCCGCGATACGGAGTGAGGGTACCGGCAAGGTCGAGTCCAGTCTCAGTGTTTGGCAGCGCCGCCTGGCGACGAAACTGAGATCAGCGGCAACGTCGCCAAGGGGGCGGACTCTAGCTTACGTGAGGCCACTCCTACGCCACCCCACTCGTTGCGCGATACGTGGGTTCCACCCCTTTTGCGTCTCGCGCGCTGTGAATGCCGTGATGAAACGTTCACTCCCGACGAACGGATTTGCTTGAGAAGGGCAGAAGAAAGACCAAGGGAGAAAGAAGCCGGCGCCGCTGTACCTCGCATTGTCGTAACCTCTAGGGTAATCATAAATTGTGCATGTTGAAATATTACAATATTTTTTCTCCTTCAACAAAAGGAAAAATGTTTCTTTTCCTCCGCTGAAAAACGCGAAATTTCTGATTAGATGAAAGTTTCTCCTCTGGGATAAAATTTCGTCGACATTTTATAATGAATTTTTTGTATGATTATATGTAAAGTTTATTATAGAAACCACATATTTTAAAAGTGAAATGAGATCTCGAATGTATCTTTCTATTAGTAATATTTCTCTTAAATTTTTCAAAAAAATTTTTTATAACACTTTGAAATAAATAGTCATACATATTTCGAATTATTTAACATTACGTTAATTTGGATTCAGAAAAAAATGGAATCATGTATTTAGAAAATGTCTAGATATACACCCAGTCAAAAGAATTGGTACTATCATTGAAAATTTTATAACCATAATGAGCTAACTCATTTTGCAAAAAATAAACTCTAAAGATACGTTCAAAAAATAAAATCTGATATATTCCAAGATACTTAGTGATAATAATGCCAACCAATATTAGGACAATAGAAAGTTCTGTCATTCATCGATTTCCTTCAGTATCATGTATTCAGCTACATTATTGATTAGCTTGTTGTAGCAGTAAAATCCTCAACTGATTTCCTTTTTCTAACTTAATAATCATCATCAATATAAAAAATATTGCAGAATAGCGTCTTTTCTTAATTACACTCATTCATTATCTCAACTTTTTTTGTGACTCTCAAACAAGAAACTTTTCAAGCTTTTATAAAATCATATATACTTCTTACAGAGAGACAACATGCATAATAGAAAAGCAATTCTTTTTTCAATTCCAGCGTAATGCTTAAATCCTTCACCCCTTTGCTAAAAAAAAACAACGCAAAGGTGTGAAAGACGAACTCCGGACCAAGAGGGAGAGAAAGAAACCGTAGATATCCCGTCATAAAGAGAAACCGGTTTTGTTACAACGTAGACGGAAACCGTCGCTCTCTGATCAGAAATTCCTGATGCGATGCCACAGTGTCCCGATGATGGAATCCGCGAAAACAGCGCTTGCAGATCCCGCTTGACCCGCGCCATCATCGTTGCTCACAGTCGCCTTATTCTACGGCGCGATTAAGCAGAGTGTTTACAGAGGAAATCGACCAACGCTATGGAATGCAGAAAAACACGTCGACGAAGTGAGCTGTCGACGCCGTGGCGCTCGTGCATAGGATGCACTCCTAGATAACTCCTTGAGATCCTGTCATATCAATTGTATATTTAAATTCTATTGCAAGACGCGAATCATTGGTGTGAAAAGTCTTCTCGAGAGAGGAATGACATTCTATCCAAACTGCGTCATAGCAGCAAGTAGAAATGCGTAATGATGTGTTGAATAGCATCAACTAAGGAAGTACAATACAAAATAAAGGGTAGAAAATCATTACTAAATAATTATTATTTAATAATAATCATTAAATAATAATTATTACACTATCGCTCATTAATTTCAGTACATCCCCAGATTTGTTGAGTTCTCTGTAAAGGATGAATGTGATATATGTGTTTTGTACAGAAATGAGTCCACCTGTTGTTATAAACACTTTCAGCGCTTGCATGCACATTATATTTATTTATATAAAAATCCTGTTGAAAATTACAGTTTTGAAGAAATAAAACAGCCAGATAACATCTTTCTGGAAATAAACAAAATACGCACGCAAGGTCACGATATTATGATATCAGATGCCAATAATGCTGTTTTGAAACTGATTCGTCAACACATACACTATATCGTTCATTAATTTTAATACACTACTCAAATCGTCGATTTTTCGAAAAGTAATGAATAAAAAAACCTCATTTGTGATAAATATAGGGATTTATATAGGCAAATAAACTTGTTTTGCACTTATTATTACATATTGTTTACAAATGTGCAAAACACACGTATCACGTTCATCCTTTTCAAAGAAATCAACGAATCTGGAGGTGTATTGAAATTAATGAGCGGTAATGTATTTAACAATCATTATTTAATATTCAACGTTCACCTCGCGATAGATTCGCATTCCAATTTCCAGAGATATATTATTTAAGCTTCTATACTGGACAACAAAATAAAAAATAAACTGGTTGTTATAACTTTTTGCATATAATTTATAATTTTTTATAAACTATGTTGTCATTTTTGCGCGTATCATATATTCACTTCAAAATATTTGTCTGCTTCCATTAATACCGAGATCATTCTTTTGTTATACGCATTTGCCACCACAAAGTAGAACGCTCGAAATATGCTTGGACATTTGAAATTCTCTCTATTATTTTCAGTATTATTCTCTTCTACAGACGAAAGTGGTTTGCAAGCGGTAAACCGTAAAGCAGCTTCCAAATTGAAAATGGTGGTCAAATTCAAGAGAGCCCCCTGGTGCTTTTCAGTTTTGTCTCTGGCTAAAATCCTTGTACTTTTGGTTGAAAGAGCTTTTGCTGAATTTACATCGCTCTTTACGCTTTCGGCCTCGAGCATACAGACACAGAAAATCAAAAACATAAATTCATGTTGAATTGAATTCTTAAAAACTCCAAACTTAAATAAGATTGAGTAAAGTGAATAGATTATTTGTTAGATAACGAAAAGATTTAAAAAATTTTTTTAAGTATTTTAAAATTCAATAAAAAAAGTACTTATAAAAGTAAAATTACCACATAAACTCTAATATTCCAAATTAAATTTCAATTTCAATTTCTAATTAGAACAATTTAAAAACAATGACTTTAAAGTTAGATAACTAGAATTTCTAAACATCTATAAAAATTACGCACGTAAAATTTACGAATCGAGGGTTTAATAAATCAACCATCATAAACATTTCTATGTCTAACATCAATATATCGATTGACAGAGAGATCAACGTCTGCAAGCAATGCAATTCGACGCCTAAAAGGTCGCACCTTGAGATGCGGAAAGGACATCCATTTTCCGCAGTCCGGCTGGTCACTATTCTCAGGTCGCCTGTAAGCTAAATGGTCCACCCAGCGGTCATTGTCACCATTGTCTGCGACCAGCAAGCCGCGGGCACGCGCGAATTTTGTGCGTGTAGAGAAGTGGGACGCGACAATGAGCGGTCGGGCCGGTTACACGCGGGATCCACAACAAGCGTTACAATGAACGGGGCCTTATAAATGTTCGGATAGCGAACATTCGCGTTCAGAGCACAAACGAACTAAAGCATGCACATCGAATCCCCAATTTCTAAATGACGGTTGAGACATAAATCTTCATATCCCCTCCGCTCCTGTAAGTATACATATAATGAGTATGTAATGACTTTATATAATTAAAAACAATTATTTTTTTTAATCTATTGCTATTAAATTTAATAATTACTTTATTTAAAAGTAAATTAGTTTAGTGTAAATCATGTTAAAACTTGAGAATATTTATTTTTTTCATTTAAATTATATTTAAAATGTACAAGGAAGACGTATTTCTCAAATATAGTTTCCCTAAAAATATTCATCATTAAATAAAGTGTCTTTTTCATCTTCAAGTCAAATTCTTTGCTCTGAATGTGATCGAAATTTTGAAAATGATTAAATTTTGTGTGAATATCTTTAAGCAGTGATAGAATAAGAATTTCTATTCTTTTCTAATTGTGAAGGAAAAATATTTATATGTAATTATTATGATTTTTTAAAATAAATTTTTATTACAAGCAAAAGTTTAAGTGCATACTTCTACTTCCTATTGTATTCTCTCGCTTTTAACGTAGTAATATGAGATAACAGGAGTGATTGAATAAGAGCTTTAAATACGATACGGAAAATCAACATTGTTAAGAATAATAACTATATTTTTACGAGAATCAGAAATTAAATTTTTTTAGTATTGTGTTTACAGTATATAAACAATTGAACAGAATATGAATTTAAAATGTTGTAAGTCTGAAATTATTAACTAAAAAGTAAAAGTTTTGGACAAAATTGCTGGGATTCATGAATAAAAAAATTGTCATATAAAAACCATGAGTCCTTATTTTAAAGGTTCCAGTTAATTTTCATATAAAATGTTATTTTACTATAATATATACTTTTAAAGATAACGTATATTTGTACATGAATAAATTGAATATATTTATATTTATAAATTAAGTATATATAGTAGACATATTAAGGAACGCAAACTCTATACAAGCGGCGAAAGATATAAACGCGTTAATACGTAGGGGTGACAACGACATCACAATGGGCGAGGAACTGGTAAAAGTCTAGCAAGGAAACGCCGCTTGCCCATTGTGGTAACAATGAACAGAGAATGTTCCAGACAGTTGACCGATCGGAAACGCGTGCTACTGAATGGTCTTGGGGATTACACGCTCATTCAAGGCAAATGCAACACACTGTCGCTACTACCGGCACTATTGCTGTCGATCCTTACGAGCACCTCTTTTACGAATCGAGGGATCGAGGAGGAAAAGCGATTTAGTTTGAGTCTGCCGAAGGATCACTAGGGATGAATCGATTAACCCTCAACTGATATTCTGTAGTACTAGGTGAAACCCTACTGATTTTTCAGATCGGTTGCTGTACAGTTTAATCCTTGAACAACCTAAGAAAGAATCAAGTCTTATAAGTAGCATGGCATTATAAATACTTATAGCAATAATACGGAAAACTATGCAAACTACCGACAACAAGCATATCTAAAACTTTGGAGACCGCTTGTTCAAAATTAGGTCATAAGATGTCTTAAAGACATCTTTCTAACAATTTTTTTAGACATTTAGAAATTTTTAAGATGGCTTAATATTCTCTGTGTGTATATGAATTCTTTCTATACTTATAATTTAGAAAATATATATATACGTTTTATGTATTTTCTAAATTAAAAGTAGAGAGTAAAAACATAGAAAAGTGCAGACTAAAAAACACAAATGAGTAAAAACATAGAAAAATACAGAGATTAAAGTATAGAAGTGCAGACAAGAGAAATATCTATGATAGTGAAAGTCTTGGATTTTAGAATTTTCTGATTCAAGCTATTGTATTAGTTTAGAAACGGATCTTAATCTTATATATACACGTAATTTTTTTATTTCAGAAATTATTGCTCAACTGTTAGTTAAATAATTTAATAATTAAATTAATACTTGAAACTCTATGATCTGCATTGTAATATACATATAAACAATGCCACCTTACATTCTAAATTGCGCAAATGCAAAACTTTTATTTTGTTCTAACAAATTAATTTGCACAATACTTTTGATTGCTCATCTTGGAAATCATGAAACAATCGAAAACTTGTAAAACCGGAGAGGAATCAATTGTTCTATATGTTATTACTTGTAATAATACATCAGTCGAGCGATCTCGTCTAACGCGGTCACTTCATTGGCGGGATTTCCAGGTCGGAGCAGCAGCGCGTGCCGATCAATGAGCGCTGCATGGATTATGAGAGCTGGGTGATTCGTTGTCGGGGAGGCACGTGTTCCGCGGTAACACGTGCCTGCTCGACGAGATTTACAAGGGAGCCGGACCGACTGACGGAATGATTCTAAAGAGCCCCTTCTCTCTTTGCTAGCTCGGCGCATTCGACAGTGCTCCCTCGCTTGATTTTTATAAGCAAAAATTTTATTCATTTTTCAGTTTACAATATTTTTATATATTATCTCTTCGATTACGCGTTTCGGTACCGATATGTATATCTTTGATGAAAATTTTTCTCGAAATTTTAACTAATTGGAACACCTTTTAGAAATATTGAGAATGTCTGTTTTTTTTTTTAGAATTTTTTATATGTGTAAATTTTAAAATATTCTGAGATTTCTGAGATTTCTCATACTTTAACTTCTGAAAAACTATTTTGAACTTTTTTAAATTTTACAAGATTTCAGGAATTATAGAATGACAAATCTAATCTTAAAGTATTTCAGAAAAGGTATAGACTTCTAAAAAGTGTTTTAATTTGTATTTAAAAATCTAAGAAATTATCTAAAAAAATGTTACAAAACTATTTGGAAAACATTTCTGAAAAAATTTGGAATTTACATAAAAATTTCGAAAAATTCTATGAAAAATTCCCAGAAAAATTTTTACCTGCAATGATCGTTTAAGCAGCCTTTATCAGTTTTTTCCCAGAATAAATCGTAAAACCACATCTAATCTATTTTATAATATCTTCCCGCAATCTCTCACGCTTTGAGTCTAATTTCACTAATTAATAACCCATAAAACTTTACAATTCTATTTCAATTACACGAAACAGATACATTCATTTGTTATCATTATATTTCTTCACTTGTTGATTATATTAATATTTGGCATTTTGATCAAAAAAAATTTATTATAATATATTCATTTTTACGTTTTTTTTTTTTAATACAAACCGAAGGGTTAATTTATTCATACAGTAATGGGTCAA